AGAATGAAATTCTTTTTCAGTGGGATAGCGATTCTCTGTAATTGGAAATTCACGCTAGACTTCCCTATCAAATTAATTACAGTTATCATCTCTACAACATTTTTTAAAAATATTTATTTTTTAGGTATAGATAGACACAACACAATGCCTTTATTTTTATGCGGTTCTGAGGATCGAACCCAGGTCCCGCCCGTGCTAGGCGAGTGCTCTACCGCTGAGCCACAATCCCAGCCCACATTTCTTTTTTTTATATTTATTTTTTAATTTTAGACATATCTTTATTTCATTTATTTGTTTTTATGTGGTACTGAGTAGGGAACCCAGGGCCTCGAACGTGCTAAGCGAGCACTCTGCTGCTGAGCCACGACCCCAGCCCTCTACAACATTTCTTACAGCTAAGTCCAAGAAAATCAAATTGCTGTGTTAGGCCTGCAGACTAGTTCAGGACTCAAAGAGACCTTTTCCTTTCTTTTACAGTTCTGGGCATTGAACCCGGAGCCTCACACTTTCTAAGTAAGTGCTCTACTGTTGTGCTGCATCCCCAGCTCCATTTATTTTATTTTGATAAAGAGTCTAAGTTGGTTTAAGTACAAGGACAATGAAATATGAGGAACGATAGCACATGAATACATAAAGAGCCGAATTTCCAGATTTCCCTCTCTCCATGCTTAGTACATCCTGTGCCTTTGTTTCCTCTGCAAGAATGCTGTTCTAACACTGCTTGGGGTGGTTGTGGTGGTACACATCTGTAATTCCAGCAACTCAGGATGCTGAGGTAGTAGGATCCCAAGTTCAGGGTCAGTCTCAGCAACTTATAAGGCCATAAGTAACTTAGTGAGATTCTGTCTAAAAAGAATCTCAATGGTAAAGTGTCTCTGGGTTCTATCCCCAGTGCCAAAAGAAGAAGAAAAAAGAAAACCTGCCTGGGAATCTCTTTGTCCTTCAAAATCGTCTAGGGAAAATGCCACTTCTTCTGTGATCCTTGTCAGTTTCATGATCTTGTGCTTTATATTCTTTTTCTTTATCTCCAAAAAAAGTTTATTAGCATGATTAAATGCCGCAGTCTGGCTGGGCACAAAATCACGAGCCACTCACAGCCTTGTGGATTCAAACAGCAATTCTTTATTCTCTCACCGGCACTCTACATACACATTCTGGGAAAATCCACACCCTCCACGGGGCTCTGCATACCAAAAACCCTCTGAATAC